CGAAACCGGAGCCCCCTATCATGGTGGTGAAGAACATTTTGAGATCTCTAAGATCCTGGACTCTAAACTCAAACGTGGCAAGCTGTTTTATCTGGTTGAATGGTTGGACTTTGGACCCCAGCACCGTGAATGGGTGGAAGTAGGGGATATTCGGGCCCCTAAGCTCTTGCGGGACTTTCACCGGAGACTCCCAGAGAAACCGGGAGGTCTCCCGGAATGTCTCCCGGACTGGGCGGGAGGTTGGTCTTTGGGTGGGCAGAATGTCAGCTATGCTGCCTTAAGGTTGAGGGGCCCCTCCTGAACCCCCTCCCTGTCCTGCGTACCAGCCTGAGCCGCATTCCTTTCCCTCCGTTACTCCTCTCCTTATCTCTGACCTTGTAGGCTGCAGATCAAGTGTCTCCACATTACTCATCCGTGAGACTGCTTTCAGTTCCCAGCTTTTAGTATTAACGGCCCAGGTACTTGTTCCCGCTCGCGGGAATCAGGCCGATTGGCCCGTAGTGTGTGTGTGTGTGTGGGGGTGCTTTTGAATCTACTATATCACTCCCTGAGACTAGGGGTTCGCTATTCCTAACAGTGACTAGGCTCATGCTACCATTGTACTGGCAATAAAAGTATAACCTTTGAAGAAGCGTGTACTCAGTTGCTTGACTGTGGGTCCTGACACCTTCCTGAGCGGAGACAAAAATGCGTGAGCCGGAGGCTAAAAAACTGTGAGCTAGCTCACACCAACTCAGCTTAGAGGGAACACTGCTCCCCTGCCATACATTTTACAAGACCCATCAGAGACTAAGATTGTAACCCCGAATACGCTATGCCAGGGTCCCCAACATGGTGCCAACGGGCACCACAGGGCCAGCTGACAACTTCTCTGGGGCTTGCCAAGTGTTTTGAGAAAGCGAGCACAGCCAAGTGAGGAATTTGCCTGGCCACTGGAGATCCAATTGGCTGTGCAGATTTTAAGAGACACTGCTTCGGCAGCAGATGCCACCGCGGCACAAGGATCTTCACTGCGTGGGTTGAATGTAAGCTGCATCACCCATTTTGTGGCTGGCTCCGCCCGTTTGGTGCAGTGGTTAGGGGCACAGACTCTAATCTGGAGAACCGGGTTTGATTCCCCTCTCTTCCTCCACATGCAGCCAGCTGGGTGACCTTGGGTCAGTCACACTTCTCTCAGAGCATTTCTCTCAAGGGCAGTTCTCGAAAGAGCTCTTTCAGCCCCACCTACCTCACAGGGTGTCTGGTAGGAGAAAGGAAAGGTGATTGTAAGCCGCTCTGAGACTCCTTGAAGTAGTGAATAGGTAAAGGTAAAGGTCTCCCTTGCTCGAAAGCCAGTCGAATCCGACTCTAGGATTGCGGTGCTCATCTCCGTTTCAAAGCCGGAGAGCCAGCGCTGTCTGAAGACATTTCCATGGTCATGTGGCCGACATGACTAAACACCAAGGCGCACGGAACGCTGTTACCTTCCCACTGAAGCGGTACCTATTTATCTACTTGCAATATCTTGCTTTCGAACTGCTAGGTTGGCAGGAGCTGGAACTAGAGACGGGAGCTCCCTCCGTCATGCGGCACACTCGGGTCTCGAACTGCTGAACTACCGACCTTCCACAGCCTGCAGTTCAGCATCTTAACCACTTGAGCCACCGCAGCTCCTTGAAGTAGTGAATGGCACAGTATAAATCCAATCTCTTCTCCTCCTCCTCCTGAGGCAGCCATTTTGTGGCTGCACCCACTGTGTGTCGACAGAATTCCAAAGGTGACTGCAGGCTCGAAAAGGCTGGGCACCTCTGCACTAGGTAATATGGTAATCCTGTATAGTTCAATAAGACCTGGAAGTATACATGCTGAGGCCTGGGTTGCTCAGCCATTTCTTCTGAAGACCAGTACGGCTTAAAGCTGAAGAAAGGAAAGCCGGGAGAAGCTCTGCGTCCAAAAGTTATTTATTAAAACAGCATTAAGTTAACAATAAATCATTTCAGATAAGCTATTAACACTGAAAAAGGCAGCCCAGAAAGGGGCTCAAATCATCAAACTTCCGTTTAGTTCACTACTCCCCCCCCCCAACTCATATTATTTAACCCGAGATGGCTGAAATCATTTGCAACGAAAGGAGGATGGAAAAAATATTCCTTCAGTGTCTGTAAGTAAACACTGTGTCCAACTTAGATCAGAAAATAACCATCCTCAAGTTGTACCCCCTGGTTGGGATAACCCACTTTGGTACTTTATAAAAAACAGGCATACAAATAAAACCCCACAACTCAACCAGGAAAACACACACACGCGCCACAAGCAATGTGGACTGGAGTCGTTCTGTGCTTGTGTGAATCTCACAACCTGTCACCTGCCTTCAGAGTGAGTCCTTTTTATCTGGAATTCCTCTCTGCTTCTGGTTTTGCTAGGGAAGTGGCGCTCTCTGTGGCTTTTACTACTCCATCAAAATTGGATGCCTCCTCAGCCTTTCCTTTTGTCCCTCCCCCTTCTTGTCCTGGACTACCTTCTTCCTGCCTTCCTTTTATCCTTACCTCTTCCTGTCCTGAACCACCTTCTTCCTGCCTTCCTTTTATCCTTACCTCTTCCTGTCCTGAACCACCTCCTTCCTGTCTTCCTTTCATCCCTTCCTCTTCCTGTCCTGAACCACCTCCTTCCTGTCTTCCTTTCATCCCCGCCTCTTCCTGTCCTGAACCATCTTCTTCCTGTCCTGTTGTCAGAGCTGAACAGGACTGTGATCCTTCATTCTCTGTCATGGAGGTAACTATGCACGTGTTAGATGTATCAGGCTCGGGATCCCCAAAGGGAAGACCCGAATTAGCAGTACTAGTTTCAGAGTTCACCGGAACCTCCACACCTCCCGCAGTCCTGCAATCACTTTGCGCTTCTGAGGGCACACCATTGCTTATTTGCGCTCCAGTAGGGCAGACCTCGGCTGTCGTCTCAGGACTGGGGACTTTGAAACTCGGTAGTTGGCTTTTGGAGGAAGTCGCTTCGGCATCCGGCTTTGTGGCTGTTTCTACAATCTTCTCATCGGGCACCATCTCATCGACTTTCCGCCTCTTCACCACAGCACTGACCGAGTCCACCTCTTTCAAATCCTGACAATCTCCGCCGTTTCCTTCTCCCATCGACGGTTTAGACATCTCTGTGAGCGGAAGGCCTTCTCGATCTGGGTCTTCTCGATCGATCGCCACCTCTTCAAGGTTGGAAGCGATCTTCTCAATGTCGGTGGGAGACCTCGATAGCCCAGCGCTGTCTCCGCTGTGCTTGTTCGTCTCAAACTTCCTCTTCTTGGACTCCTTGAGGTATTCGCCGTCTGTTCCACCACTGCTGCAATCACTGGCGGGGTCCTTCCCATCTGGTTTCATTTTACCTCTCGGAGGACCTGCTTTCACGTCTTCCCCTTCAGCCCTGACATCGGATGCCGACTCAGAATTAGCCTCTTCTGTCTTTTCTGAAGTCTTCTGTTTGCTCACAGGCTGTGTCCCCGCAGCATCCCCATCCAAATCTGGCGGCCCCTTCACACTATCATTTGATCCATCCGCAGCATTCCCAACCACGCCCGTCTCATTGGGCAACTGGGATTTATTCTGCTCCACGCCCTCCGCTGCTCCATCCTTAGGCGGCTCTGGCTCATCCTTCGGGGCCACGTTGTTCAGGAGCTCCGAGGATCGGGGCTTGAAATCCAGGAGTTTCTTACGGGGCCCCCAGACAAACTCGTGCTTCGGCTCGAAGTGCCGCCACGCGAAATGCACCAGCTCCCGCCGCTTCTGCTTACTGCGGACAGTGAACATGAAGTAGTCCAACGCGCTCCTCATAACACGCGGGAGCATCTGATGAACCAGCGTCTCCGTCAGGAAGAACTTCACAAGGTGCACCTGATAATGCTCCTTCCCCATCTCTCCCAAGCATTTCAAGATCCGAGTGATGCGCAGATTGTTATGGGTATACCTGCAAAGAAAGAAAGAGCGAGAGAGAGAAATTAAGAGAAATATGATTGTGTTGGTTTCAGGACCAGCACTACAGGGAGATGTAAAAGGACTTGAAGAACCGCCTACTCCCTCGTGAACCTGCCTGACCACTGCAGTCATCTTTGGAAGTCCTGCTTCGGGTGTCCCCCCAGCCTTCTGCAATTAGGCAGGTGGCAATCCAGGACAGGGCCCCAGAGTTGTGGAACTCTCTCCCCAGGGAGAGTCTTCTGTCCCCTTCTACTGCCGTCTTCCACCAGTGGGTGAAGACTTTTTAGTTTTGCTTGGCATTCCCCGCAGTGAACCCACCACCGAGAGCCAGTTTGGCGTCGAGAGCCAGTTTGGCGTCGAGAGCCAGTTTGGTGTAGTGGTTAGGAGCGCAGGCTCTAATCTGGGAGAACTGGGTTTGATTCTGCATTCCTTCACATGCAGCTGCTGGTGACTCCTTGGGTCAGTTACAAGTTCTTTCAGAGTTGTTCTCTCAAGAGCAGTTCTCTCAGAGCTCTCTCAGCCCCACCTATCTCATAGCGTGTCTGTTGTGGGGAGGGGAAGGGGAAAGGAGATTGTAAGCTGCTCTGAGATGCCTTCGGGTAATGAAGGGTGGGGTATAAAGCCAATCTCTTCTTCTTCTTTGCAGTTCTCTCAGAGCTCTCTCAGCCTCACCTATCTCATACGGTGTCTGTAGTGGGGAGGGAAAGGGAAAGGAGATTGTAAGCTGCTCTGAGATGCCTTCGGGTAGTGAAGGGCAGGGTATAAATCCATTCTCCTCTCTCTCTTCTTTTCCCCAATGTTTTAATTCTTGTTTTTGCATTTCGTACTTATTTTAAGCTCTGTGCGCTGGTTTTTATGGCTTTTAAGGGGAGATTTTAATTTATATGCTTTGTCAGCAGTCTCAGTGGCCCAGTGAGGGCAGATTCAGATGGAGCAGATCTATTCTCTCTTGCTCCGGATTGCAAGACTAGATCTAATGGGTGGAAATTACAAGGGAGTCGTTCCCGGCTAAATATCAGTAGAAACTTCCTAACTGTCAAGAGTGGTTGAGCAGTGGAACAGTCTGCCTCGGAAGGTGGTGGATGCTCCTTCGCTGGACGTTTCCAAGCGGAGGCTGGACGACCATCTTTCGGGTATGTTGTAGTTATGTAGGGCTATCTTTCAGCTATGCTCCTGCAGAGTGCAGGGGGTTGGACTAGATGACCTGCAAGGTCCCTACCAACTCTAACGTTCTATGATTCTATGAAAGACAGGGTAAGAATCTTGTTAATAAAATAAATAGATGTAATCCAAGGGTGCTAGCTAGGGATGTGCGTTCAGGTAAAACCGAGCTGAAAATGCATCTGAGATACATTCGGCTCCTCCAAATAGACTTTTCGGGATAGCAAAAATTCGGTTCTGAAAAATCCTGGAAATACTGGGGATTAGCCATGAATACCAGGACCCGGCGTCTGTGGGTTCCCAGGACTCCCCCCCCCCCCCCGTGTTTATGTGTCTCCAGGACTTGGAGTTGGCTTGTCAGGCTGCATTAGGTAAGGCGCTGTCACTCTCAAGTGCTTTTGTTGTTTTTCAGAAGTCTGATCTTTGCTGGAGTTTATTTTTGTCAGGTTCGAGGGGTTTTTGTGTGTGTGTGTATTTTTGAGTATTCCATGGGGTGACATTGGCATGTGTTATATAGATTGAGATTCACGTGTTTGACAACTGTCTGCCATGACACTACTCAGATGCCCTGCTGGATTAGACCAGTGGTCCATCTGATCCAGCATCCTGTCTCATGCAGTGGCCAACCAGTTCCCCTGGATGGCCAACAGCAAGCCACAGAGGCAGAGGCTTTCCCCCTAATCTTGCCTCCTGGCTCTGGAATTCAGAGGCTTAGTGCCTCTGAAGGTGGAGGTTCCCCTCAGTCACCATGGCTGGTAGCCACTGACAGAACTATCCTGCATGAATCTACCTTAACACCTTTTTAAAGCTGTCTATTCCTGTGGCCATCACTACACCCTCTGGTCGCAAATTCCCCGTTTTAATCATTCTCTGTGTAAAGTGGTATTTCCTTTTGTCCGTCTAGAAACCTACCGCCCAGCTTCATGAGATGCCCTCAACTTCTAGTATTTTGGGAGAGGGAGAAAAATTCCTCTCTCTCAACCCCAACGCCTCATTTTATAAGCCCCTAACATGCACTGCTAATTGTGCACAGCCACACACAGCTCTGACAAAAAGGTGCGCAGGCGCAATGGCGAGCCAATGAAAGAATGACACAGAGCACAGAGACCATTGTGAAGGCACTCAGAAATTCCTACTCTGCAAAACGTTTCAAAGGTCTTGTTGAGCTAAATTAATTGTTTATCGGATGGCACTTGTGTGTAGAATAGCCAGGAGAGCCTATGGTTGTCTGGCAGCCAGAAGTTCTAGCTCTTTTAGTATTAGGCACCACTTGGTGTCGAGCTAGACTTTTAAGGCAAGAAACATTTCAGAGGTGGTTTGCAATGTTCTGCCTCTGCTAACCAGGGGTCATTTCCTGCAGGAGCGCAGCTCCGGCAGTAAAGAGCCCAGGGGGCGGGCACATGCAACAAGCCCCACCCCCTGCTCCCAGCAGCCCTCAGAGCAAAAAACAGCCAGGTAAGTTGTAGAGCTCCCCCCGGCCCAAGACAGTCCAGTGGCACCTTTAAGACCAAGGTTTACTCAGGTACAAGCTCTCCCTCCTCTGTGAGGCCAAATCTGCACGTCCCCCCCCCCCAATAGCTAGCAATCCAAAACAATCCAGTGGAGCCTGAGCGGTGGGTGTTGCCTTCTGACACACTTCCGGTGATGTCAGGGGTGTGTGGCATATGCAAATAAGTTATGCTAATGAGTTATGCTAATGAGCTCCTGCACCTCTTTTTCTTTGAAATGACCCCTGTGCATCACGACCCTGGTATTCCCGGGGTGTGTGTGTGTGTGTCCAAATACTAGCCGAGGCCGACCCTGCTTAGCTTCCGAGATCAGGCTAGCTAACTCTACCAATCTCCCCTAGTCCCCGGCACTCCCTTTCAAGCTCTCCGGTCAGGAGGAGAAGCCAAGCATCACCCATCCACGCATACACATATACCCCCTGCAGACTTGTCCAACTCTCAAGCATGCTGGCTCTCACACAGCAAAATCACACGTGCAAAGTCAGTCTTCTTCATGCACGGCCTTCACGAGGTTGGCAAAAAGATCAGAACCAGTACACGGGTACGTGCTTGTCCCCGCTGCATCCAAGCCAATAAAACGTCAAGTCATCAAGCAAAATGCACACAGGTGTGATTTGGCACAAACGGCGATCAGCCAAAACTCAC